TTCTGTTCAGCCTAACTTCCTTGCTGGGAGTTTGCTGGTATTTATCTTTCATTTTTGTCCCCATGTAGGCCTTGCTATCAATGATATAGACTGAGTGGCCAGGTTATTATGACCACCTGACGTTTGTAGGCAAATTAGCTATAATTTTGCGCTGAAGTTGCTAGAGGGCCAGACCATTATAAATAGGGAAGCAGGTTGTTTACCACGACAGTAGAAGTGATTTTTTTTCTGAAGATATGGGTAAACAACGCGATTTAACAGCCTTTGAACGTGGGATGATTGTTGGCGCTCTGAGCCATGGAGCGAGTATCAGCAAAACAGCAGAATTCGTTAAATGTTCAAGAGCAGCTGTTGTTAAAGTGTTTAAAGACTGGACTGTCAGACAAAAATCTGGGTCTATTGTATATAGTTCTGTTGTTTGTCTGTGTTGAAAATGTGTTTTACTGTGTTTATGGCAGCCTATAACTTGCATTGGGGATTATGTGATAAGCATCATTGCATTAAAAAAAAAAAAAAAAGTGATTCTTCTTCTTTGCACCAGAGCTGCTTAGACCTCATTCCGATTTGATCTTTTTTGTTTTGGTGCCTTGCAGCTGAACCAGTTGGAAGGAGAAGAGAGTTACTACATGCTGAAGTAAGTGCTTAAACCACCATGTTTCTATTCTATAGGGATACAAGTCCCTGCAACCAGAGACTTTTTTTAAACTAAATACATAGAAGGAAAAAGATGCATCTCCTTGATATCCTGACTGCTTCTTCTTTTTTTAAACAGGTGATAGCTGTCGGTACAGCTGTCCTTCTTTTTGTCAGGTTAACCCGTAATTGTTTTAGAAGTCCTTCTGAATTGTATAGTTTTGGATAGTGCTGTACTTTGTAAACTTGTTTCAGTCTGCCCCTGTCTGTGTTTTCCAGATTCAAACATTAATGAAGCGTGCAGAATTTTTAAAGGAGCAGGTAAGAGAGTTCTAGAAGGCAAAAAGGTAAGAGACTGGACACAGTTTCTGATTCTCTAAGTCATATGATTTTTTTTTCATCTTCTGCTTCAGATGAAGACTACTGACTGGAAGAATGATTCTCTGGGACAAGAGATGCTGTCAGAGTCTGTGCGGGGATGTGAGTATGCTCAAGTACTCAATAATTACCCTAACTTTCTCAATAGTCTGTTCCTAACTTGCTCAGTCTGTCAGTCAGTCTATTTATGAGGAAAGCCAGCAGTAAGCACCCACCATGGTATTAATTACAATTTGTTTTATTATTTCGAACTACTTGACTAGTGTCTTTTATGTATTGACTGGAATGTAAAAAGCAGCCCTGGCATTCATAACGTGTCCGCTTAAGTTGTCCATCTACTGCTTGAATTTTGTCAAATTACTGGCCCTGTCCTGAGAGGGGAGATTCCTTCATTCATGCTATTCAGGGTGGATAGGGGAACTGATTGGTTTCTCTCGTTCAGCCCGCGGGGCTGACCGAGAAAAATCTAGAGACGTATGGCCAGTTTTGGATCTCGCAAAAATCTTGGTTACTTTTGACGAGACAGATGGACTTGACCATTATCAGATTGTTACATAATAGTCACCAGCAGGCTGTGGATAAAGTCTCAAATGTTTAATAATAAAACATGGTAGCCACAAATACAGTGACATTTTAGGACCAGACAGGGTTATATCTTCAAGGAGATCAGCAGCATAGAATTGTAAAAAGGTGAAAACTGCATTTTACTCAATAACATGGCAATTGTTTATGATACACAGTACCTTTAGTAAACCAACTGTCATACATTTAGGATTAAGGTCTCCCTTAAATTGCCGAAAGCTTATTTTTGATTGATTTTAAAGAGATCCTTCCACTATGTTAAAAATTGCAGGTAACATTCTTCAGAAGTATTACAAATTTGACTTTGTCGATTCACTAAGATTTTCAATGCAATTTTACAGTTGTTCACTATTTATAAAGTCAAGCGTGTATTTTGTTATAACTTACAGTAATGATGATATTACTGAAATGAGGTTCCCCTCTAATAGACGTTTCACAGTCACAGTAAACTCCTAGTGGAACCTGAAGTTAAAGGAAGGGTCTTCTTATTTCCTGCTCTAAGACTAATCCTTACTAGGTGCACAGATTCTGATGCCTCTTCTTGTCTCTTTTCCAGCATGTTCGCTGCAATGACCCTACTGCGATTCACTGCCGAGATGGAGTTCTTTTATACGTTGTTTTGTCTTTGTGATACTGTGTATTAATTAAATTATTTTTCACTCTCTGAAGCATTCTTATTTAGCTCCTGACCCTGACAGATGTAAGACTCTGACTAAGCAAGATTAATCAGGCTGGACAGAAAATCCAGAAACATACTTGTTCATAGAGTACTTACAGACAGTAAAGAATGTTTGCCAATCTGCCCATTTGCAGCCAGTTCAGGGAATGTTGGTATGCCTGTAGGCCTTCTCTGATGGGTGCACCTGCTTTGGGGAAAGACTCAATTGGCTGCCATGGCTTTTTCTGGCCATTAGCCGTTGAGTTTCCCTGAAATTGGCACTTGTAGTGTTCCCTCTGCTTGCTTCATAGGTACAAATATACAAGCTGACATGATGTAAACTTGCAGTTTGTATTACATTGGTGTGTTATAGTGATCCTTCAGCAGCAGGGCAGTGCATGTACAGCCAGCCACCATCTGGTATCTGTTAGTACTTTTTAGGTCATCACTTACCTTTCACACATTGATGCCTTCCAGGTGGTTCTGGCTTTAGTCTGCAGTCATTCAACATGTGAAATACAGACCTTGGTACAAAGTCAGTAACGTCAAATTCTTACCGGAAAAAAGCATTCATGTGTATCTAAAAATATAATATTGCAGCTTACCAGACCTTAGATGTGGTGGCTGCATTCGTTTTCTTTATTTCGGGGCTTTTCAGGTAATCCTGGCAGTAACACTTTATGTCCTTGGATGGCTACGCTTACTCCTCCACTTTATCTATGGAAGGATGACACACAGGCAGGACTTCAAACATGCCTGCCTTTGTTAATCTCCATTATGAGGTGGGGAGATTACTTTATGGTGGAAAGATAAGGTTGCTTTTGCTCTCTGTTCAGCTCACAGGGAGTGACAGGGGCACTGCACCGCTGGCACGAGCAACAGGCATTTGTTTAAAATGTTCTTATTCAAAAATAAAAGAAAACTAATGCAGCCATCCCATCTAAGGACTGGCAATCTGCAGTGTATTACGTTTCTGTTCTTGGATTTAGTTATCCTTTAAGATGTTTTAGTATTTAGGGTAACCCGTTATGAAAAATTAATGAATAGATGTTATTTGAGGTGAAATTACAGAACACACTTTTTTCCAAAGTGGTATTTTAATAACAAGTTAGAAATTCAGTTGCTAATAGTAACTACCAGTACAAATACTTAGAGTTGTAATCAGAACAGCCTTCCAGCTACACAGGGAGTCACACCACATTGCTGAGACACAGGAGAAGGTTGACTCACCTAGGACATGGCTTCTCAGAAATGAACACCTGTGTGACAATGGCTACGGCTAAGGCCCAGTTTGGGGGCTGAAACATGCAAGCATTTCTTTGTTAGCTGCTTTTATGCCTTCTTACAAAGAAAGTATTGAATGGACGGATCCCCTTACAAGTGCCGGTTTTTACCTATTGCTTAGTAAAGGCTCTCTTGCGGAAGCATTTACCAGGCACCAAGGTTCCAGCAGTGAGATTGGAGACGAGGTTAGAGCTGCTCTATGTTTAATGACCTGTGTGAGAAGGCTCTGATGGAAAGTGCCATTCCCTGAATCTTAGGTCACATACTAGCTCTATGGTAGGAGTGGGCAACTCTGGCCCTCCAGATGTTTTGGAACTACAAGTCCCTTGTTGCATTGCAAGACTGACAGTTACAGGCAAGACTCCCAGAGTCAGTCATGTTGGGATTTGTAGCTAAAGCACAGATGGAGGGTCGGAGTAGTCCACCCCTGCTCTATGGTTAGAGAATCTGGACCTATTCAATGGGTCACTGTACTGGAACTAGTATGCTTCACAGGAATCCGGGAATAGTTGCTTCTGTCAGAGCCTGCTAACGCAGGTGTTTTTCTCCGTTACAGAGTCTTTTAACCTCCTCAAGTAACATTAAAATCACTATTTGTACTGGGAAAACATCAACCGTTGTAATGGTGCAAGCTCCTTTGGGGTACCTATCCTCCTCATCCTCTACACTGCAGAGACAGATCTATCGTTTGGAATATATGTCTACCTGGTCTTTACATCATACCATTATAAGGCAATAATCACCCCCTTGCAGCCTGTACATGCTTTCTCCAGTGACTTGTATGGTGACTCGTCTCCCATTGTGTATTACATTGGGTTTCTTTGATCGAGTTGTGCAAAGTGCAGTAACCCATAGAAAATGTTCAGTTTCCAGTTTTAGCATTATGGAAAAGATGAACTTCGGTTGCCATGGGTTGCAGCTTATTGCAAAAAGTCTTTGCTCTACACATCAAACAAGCATGCAAATGTACCAATGTATTGCTTGTTGTAAAAAGTAATACAAAAATATTCAGTATTTTAAGAGCCCATATCGTGTAATACCAGATATTTGTATTACTATCACCTGCCTCTTTTTATATACAGTTACTGCCATTAAAATTCAAGCTTTCTTTCTCCACATTACTTAATGGAAACCTGTAGGAGAGAAATATAATGGCTGCCATTGCTGACCTCCCCTACTAAAATGGCCAATTGCCTGGTTCATATTTTCATATAGACTTACAAAACTGTAACACCGATGCAGATTAGGTATTCTAACTTCACTGCATGATTGTCTAAGCTCAATGACTAAGAAAGTGCTAAAGTCACTGGAACAGCATGATAGGCAACTAGCTTTTTCTAAACGTTGTCCGTAATGGCAGCCTATATATTTTTCTCACACAGGTCTCATTTAACCTTACACATCATAGGTTTTTTTTAAACATCTTCAGCTCTTCTGAGAACCAGTTTGCACAGTTTCAAAGGACGCCAGAGCAGGTACAGTATAACAGAAAAGCTGCACATCTAATTTTAAGTCGTAACAAAAGATTGGTTGGTTTCAAGAGCTGTAAGACGCATACATAACACAACACAACTTTGTGTTTTGGTGATTGTCATTTTTCATATCTGAAACAAAGGAAGAGCAGACTGCAACATAGGGAAATTTACAGGTCACAAAAGTTATCGTTTGCATATGTACAATCAGATATCTAAACCTTTCCCTGGAAGATCTTGGATGTTTGTCTGAAAAACAGGCCCTTCCCATTTAATCCAAGAAGTGTTGTATCTTAAAATATAGGGGCTGTGCATATGTTACAGAGTTGTGTTGTCTCCGAAGGATAATTATAATTTGTGACCAGTGCTGGATGTCTAGACTCGGAGCTGGAGCGGCACGTTTTAGCAACCCGCTGGACATCAAATCATTTGGGACTTTAAAATAAGTCACATGACTGAGCACTTTTCAGCTGACTGTTTCAGGTCATCCAAAGTTGATTGAGCTTTTCCTTTAATTGAGTCCAAGTCAATATTCTGGATGTTGCTGAGCTGTCCAATGACAGATGATTTCCCCTCCTCTTCTTCAGTATCCTCTTCGATCATTTTTGCCAACTCCTTGGGCAGCTCCACATCACCTCCAGCTAGCTGAATCTGAGTTTCATCAACGTCATTCTGTGTAGAGAGAAGAACAAATGTAAACGGAAGCAATATTTATCCATTGGCTGGAGCCTGTAATAAGATAAGAGGCGTTCACATGTTTGCAGTGTTCACATCAAATATAAACATTTGTAGGAATATTGCATTTCTGCGTCATCACTGACTTTATCCAAAATCTTATTATTGCATGCTCTTGTTGATAGAGAATGACAGTGAATATATTACAAGCAGTGTTTATGGAATATTTGTTTTAAACCATAGGAGTCCATGTCAGTTTGTATTTTACTTGAAGAAAACATCAAAAATTACAAACATATTAAAGCCCAATTGAACTTTTAATTTAAATCCGCTAAATATATTCTAGGTTCATATGAACAAAAGGTGTTCAAAGTCTAACAGTTTGTTTCTTCAGAGAACAGCCTAGGCAGAGGCAGAAATAATGCTGTAGAGAAGGACCACCGCTCTGTGTGGAAACAGTGGTCTCTCTTCAGAGGTCCTATATGCCCCCTGTTGAATCTAGAGCTAGAACTCTAATCAGCAGGGAGCATGAGCTTTAGTGATTGAAGAGCTCTAACTCTGACAAAGCAAGGGGTGTGTTGGACTTTTGCAGAAAGACCATTGGTTACACACAAAGAGCAAGGGTCCTTCTCTACAGCAAGTTGGCAGGGGACAGGCTTTTCTACTCAGTCTGTGGCTGCTTTCTAATAAAAAATCAACTATGAGACTTTACACACCTTTAGTTTTGATGCACCTGGGTTGTATTTATCTCATATAGACTGAAAGTTCCATTGGCTTTAAAGTAACATACAAACTGTGACTAGTGCCATCAAAAACTTTGCTTACCTGCTAAAGAAGAAGTACAGATTAAAGAAGAACTCAGGGCAGAAATTGTTATTAACCCCGCATTGGAAGGGTCAACTGATAATTTTTGCCTAGGGTAAAAAAAAGTTAAACTCACCCAATCCTCTGAGCTAGCAGCGCTCCCTGCAGCCTGTCTCCTCCGCAGCAGCAATGTATGTCCCTCAGCGTTCTCACTGTATTGGACGTGTTGACTTGAGGATTCCAAGACAACTACAGAGGAGGGGGAGAGATGCTCCAGGGACCGATCTAAGGATCTGGTTAGTATAACTTTTTTTTATTTACCCTAGACAAAAATGAGCAGTTAACCCTTGCAGTGTGGCGGTAGACCCACTGCTAGTGTTAATAACATTTCTTCCCGAAGTTCTTTAAAGGCAAACAGTAAAATTAAACTTTAATATTTTGTATAGCATAGGAAAGATTAAAACTTTATTTAGATTTCTACTACTCTCTGTATGGCCCTTATGGAGATTTATCATCACTTCCTGCCCCAGTGGCAGTGGTCGTGATGAATAATTCCCACCCATACAGTGAAGACACAAGCAATAAAAACTTCTAATGGTTCTAGCCATTCCCCAGGGCATGGTGGCATATGTTGGAATTGTTCACGTGCGCTAACTTTAGCCTCTACAGAGTCAGACGTTTTAACCGTCATTAAGAAAAAGCAAAGGAAGAGCATTTTTGGAGTGTAAACCTGCTGAGCTGTAGAAAAAAATATTTCTTATTGTGTAATACAGAAAGGTTGGGGTCCTGTAAGGAGTGGGTTGTCAAACATTGGCATGGTATTCTCATGTAGGGACAATTTAGGACAGAACTTGGGTGGACTGGGTTGGTCTTGATGTGTACAGTTTTTAAAAGTTGAGGTATGGAAAAGATATATACTGTATGAGACACTTGTTTCATCTGATCTGTATGGAGCACTAATTTGTATGATGATGCTACATTTCATGATCCCACCCCTACAAAAAATATGTGATTTTACCTTTGGTAGTTGGTAGAGGTTTTATCATATTGGGAGGTATTCAATGTACGTATGAGAATCATGTTTCCTCTGTCATTTTTTCCGATCCTGCCTACAAATGTGACTTTACCTTTGGTAGTCGGTACTTGTCTCTAAAGTGAGTCCGCAGTGTGGCTCTTTCAGCTTTGCGTTGGGTGTATACAGCATCCCGCTCCATTCTGCATAAAGCAAATCACATTACAGTCATGCTTACATCACATAATATAGCCCATGAAAAGGTTAGTGATAATACCTTAGGTTTATATATTACTGAGTCCACTAAGAAAATCTCAATAGCTAGCTAATTTAAAATCATATAAAGCTAAAACCATCCAATGAGCAATTAGATATTTTTCGTGATCAGGACAATGCCTTTTGTCAGACCTGCACACAGGACTTGCATAACATTTAAAGCTGAAGTTTAGTGTACACATAGAATACTTTCACTTGTTCCTTCCTCCCTCTGAACAACATGCAATTAAAATTATTTAATCAACTTATTTTGCTTTTCAATAAATACTCGTTTTGAGACCCAGTGATCTCATCACTGAGTCTATCTACCGCTCTTTGATCCAAGTATGGTGTAAGGGACGGACGCGCTCTTTTTAAATAGAGTTACATGGAGGAACACATCTACAGGATCCCTTTAGATGTGTCTGCTTTCTCCCTGCTGGCCACTGGGTCCTGCAGACTTTAGCTGTCATGCCAATTGGTTTACTGGTTGTAGGCAGGTCTAAAGGGATGCTTTGGATGCGTTCTTTCACATAAAGCTCGGGAACAAAATGATTCATGGCAGAGAAAGCTAATAGCTTTGAGCGAGGAGAAGTGATTCATAAATGCTGAAGGTCTTTCAGACAGGAAATAAGGTTGGTCTCAAGATAGCTGTAACTTAAAAGGACGATTTCCTGAGAAACGGTAATATACAGGGGTACAAGTACTCCTAATAACGAGATGACTCAGGGATCTATACACACACACACACACACACAATAGGTTGGACTTGATGGACATGTGTCTTTATTCAACCTCAAATACTATGTAACTACTGTATGTAAATTGTGGAGATGCAAGTTAGCAGGGAATTGGGAGTAATCCATTTGTACACTGGAGAGGACTTGCTAGAAGTGTGGAAAAAAAGGTAAGGCTGGAGTTTAACTTTAAAGTGTATGTCAGGGCAAAAAAAAAAAAAAAACATGCAGTGCACCTCTGCAATACATGCACATTTCCCCATGTAGTATACTTTTAAAGACTGTGTAAGTACAGAAAAATACCTGTTAGTCTGCCAGAAATGCACTCGGCTCCAAAATCCTGTTTCTGGCTGCCAATACACAGCTTTTGTTATGGACTGAGGGGTGTTCCCCTATCCTATTCTTAACAACACAGACACTAATCATTCTGTAGATGAACTAGGCGGGCTAATTACTCTCCCTGAGAAAACACTGGATGTGTGTGCAAGACCCAGGACTCTGAATTTATAACATGATCAACTGGTATTTTTTTGTACTTATCGAACAGATACACGAGAAGTTCGTTATTAGGGTTTAGATGACACTCTAATCCAATGGTACAGAGGTTTGTTTTTTTTAAATTAAGTGGCTACATTAGGAAAATATTGTTACTGATTGTATTTTTAATCTGTACAACTGTGCTGGACCACCACGTGGCAGGAGATGCACTCATAATGCGATCAGTTGAATGCAGATAGTGGCCGGGTTTTCTGCAGTAAAACAGGACACTTTAGACGGAGCCAATCAGGATCAAAAGGATCCATCTGCATATCTCCATTTTGCGGTATTGCTTGTGTTACCCCAGTGCACATTAATGAACCAACTCAACAGACCTCTTATGCACATGCTTTATAGCGCCCCACAATGCAGGGTAATGTGTTGTATTGCACTGCCCTGCATTGGGAAAAATGCATGTCTGTTGTTTTGTCTGTTCTGGTACACTGGCAGCCCATTCATCTGAATGGGCTGCCTTTTATGCACTGCACGGTGACGTGACAATACCACACATTAATGTGTATAAGATAGCACAACGCACCAGCATGGCAAATTGTAAGTGGGCCCTAGAGCATGGGCTCTCAACCTGTGGGTCGTGCCCCAAAAGTGGGTCGCAACCCCCTGTTGAGTGGGTCACCGTGTACCTTCTGCTGCGCTAGGTGAAAGGCTTCTCAGCCTCCTCCTGGAGCAGCAGTTCTCCCGCCGGCTGCCAGATGTCACTGCCTGGAAAGAACTAAATAGAACTGTGCCAGAACTCCTGTATTGGGGGTGACAGCTGTCACCTCCAAATGCTACCACACATTGGCTTGTTAGTTCCTGTGTGATAGCTATAAAGTTAAGTGAAAAAATAAAAAAATTAAATAAAATTGCTAAAAAGTTTTAAAAAAAATAAGATACAAAAAATAATTTAAAAAGTGATAAAAAGGAAACAATAATAAAATGAAATTTATCAAAAATAAAAAAGTAAAAGATAAGATAAACGAAAATGTAAAAAATATTTTTAATAATAATTAGTAGTAGTATACTAGTATAGGTATCGGTGCCGATACCAAGTACTTGGGCTCGGTGAAAATACTTTCCTCCAATACCGGAACGTCATCTCAGAGGGGCTCTCATGTCATGAACAGCCGCCCGACTTTTTGATAATCGGGGCACACAGAATGGGTATCAGTATTTGGTATGGGCGAGTACCAAAAAAAAGAATATCAGTACTCGATACCGAAAAACCAGTATCGGTGCATCCCTAATTATAATTATGAGAAAAAACATTTCCGTTGGGGGTCACCACAACTTGGCAAATGTTACCAAGGAGTTTCCGGCCCTAGAAAGGTTGAGAACCACTGCCCTACCTAGAGTAAACATTTCAGAAGGGAAACATAGAGGCTATCATTGCTTACCTCTCATTCTGCACATATTTGAACAAGTATGCAGATAAGGAGTTCTAACTTCACTCTGACTTTCCTGAGAATACACTTGTTTCAAATCAGCACTGAATCCAGAAGATCACAATAACAGCCAAGTAATCAGCAGTTTATCTGGAAGGCACGTATGTCAGGTTGATTCACACAATCTTTTATTAGCATTGCTGAGTCAGAAACCATCTAATCGAAATAACGTGATAATGTTCACACTTTAAGTACCCTAATGACTTCTTGCTCTTCTGAAACTTGCTATATCTATTACTTTTATTAGCCTTCCACTTATTAATGCCTGGGGGAAAACTGGAAGAATGTCCTTTTAGATCTCTTCCCTGTCTATACAGTGTAGTTTTAAATGTACAGATTGTAGGGGTATTAGTGCACTAGCAATAAATTATAACCCAGTTAGGACTGTCCACCTCCCATTCCATAGCCCACTCTTCTTACCTGACTTTCCTACTAAAGAATGTTGTAATAATTATGTGAAAGTGTTTGTGTGTTTGTGTGTACTGTTTGGACTGACTGGAAGGGAACGCCCCAAAATCTTGTCCTGAAATGTAACTTTTAGTGCACATAAAAGAGAATCACGGGCAGCACTCAACAGTGTTCATCCAAAGAGTCAAACACCTGCTAAGAAAACTTAAGCTGGCCACACGCGGCTAGATTTTGTATGTGCTTTCTCTCCACTTTCCTGCAGAGTGCAACTTGTCACTTGATCACTTTTTCTTTAAATAGCCAGCTTAATTGTGGTCACACTTTTTCAGCATCTGGTTTAGGTTAGCCTGAACATCTGGTATCTCCTAGACACGGAGCTATAGTAATGGGTGCTGATGTAGGACTCTTTGACGTCCATATTTGGTGTACTTTGTACATTACTATAATGGACTCTGGCTTTATCAAATTGTGTTTCTTTTCTGTCGGTAAGTATTTTAAAGCAAATTCCAACACTTTACTAGCTTTTCAAATTGCAAGTTTCCCAGTATAGTGAGTTGTTGGCATAAAGGAAACCTGTACTGAGAGAAATATGATGGGCGTCATTTTAGACTCCTGTAAATACTGGCCAATTGGTTGTTTGTTACTTTCCTAGGCACTGGACCAGGACAAGCGTAGCCAGTAAAGCAAGGGTAAACACAAAACTGATGTGCACACTTGTTCCAGGCCAGTGACTCAAAGTATTGGAATTATTCGATCAGAAGAGAGCCAGGTGACCAGAATTTTCCTAAAAGAGATCCCCAATATCAGCTTACATACAGTATTTCTCAGAGCAGAATTCTATAGGCAACATCTTTCAGAATATACTCATTTTCATAAGAGTAAACTAGACCAGCCTTTCTCATCCAGGGTGCCTTCTGGTCCCCTCAGGGGGACCTCGAAATATTGTGATGGTAGGACTGTCATGCGTAAGGGGGCTTCTGATGTGAAGGGAAACGTTTATTGTAAAAATTGGGGAATCTGATATGAAAGGGGGCTTTGATATACAGGAGGGACTCTGATTTGAAAGAGGGCCTTCTGATATGAAGAGGGCTCAAGATGTGAAGGGGGCATCCGATGTGAAGGGGGCTACTGATGTCAAGAAGATTTCTGATGTGAAAGGGGGGCTCTGATGTGAAGGGGGTTCCTGAATAAAAGAGGGGACTTTAATGTGAAGTGTAAGAAATCCACTTTTTGCGTGGGGTCCCCCCCCCTAAAATCCATTGTATTTTAGACTGGGGTACCTTAAGATTTTGTATACTTTTAGAGAGTGCCACCTTTTTTTAAAACCGGTGGAGAAATCATTAACTAGACTGACTGGGAAAGGCTACTGATATTTTTTATCATAGATGAATGATACTTTTTTTTTGTTTGTAACATTATGGCATGGATTAATATAACAGATTTCCTCTGCTTAGTTGGGAAATGCCTAAGATTATAATTCTGTTTTTTTTCCCTGAACCCTGTCAGTATATATTCTTTAATCCGAGTCTTCTTTACCCCACTAATTTAATATACCATGTGTGCAGAGCGTGCTAGGAAAAGCTCCTTAGGAGGCAGTACAACTAAAAGCAATAATGTTAAGAGAAGGATTACGCACATAGCAAAAGACATTTTAATCTTTTATTTTTAGCCTATTTATTATGCTATCTGACAGCAGCCTCATAATTTATGGTTCTTCTTCATCATTATCCGATGTGTAATGTGGCAGAGTTCAATCCATAATGTAACTAATTTTATTTTGTTGCCTTACCAACAAATGCTGTTTTGCTGCACCTTTATGTGCTG